CGGAACTTTTTGTGCTCATCACATTGCAAGAACGAATCCCAACCTTTCTAACATCACATTGCCGGTCCTGTATGCCGACACAGGCATGGAAGCGAGTGGATTCCAAACGTGTGCCAAAAAAACCTCGGCCAAGGCCAGGGCCGCTGTTGGGGAAATCAGAAACAATCATGGTCAGGAACGCGCCAAGCGACGCAGACATGTAAAACCAGTAGCCCAAATTGTTGCGGAAGTGGTGCGGTGGCCTGTGCCACCATACAGCATCTGAAACACCCGGTCGCGCCCCTGAAACACCCGGTCGCGCCCCTACAAGGTTTTGCACCTCGCGAGAAACAGTTCATGCCAAAAGTGAAAAATTACGAAGGTACGTAATATGATTTTTTTGTACTCCAAGATGCTTATGCAGCCACTCATCCCCGGGAGGCGCAATACAACATGGTGTCGTGGACTTTTTTTTCGTCTGCCCGTGCCCTAAAGGGACTATTCGTGTATATCACTTGTAGGGTTTTGCGCGGCTTCGCTGGTTGGGGCGCAGTTGCTCGGACAAATTGTGGAGCGGAAATTCCATTGAATTAATGAAGCGGGAAAACAAAAATCCAATCCCAATTTAGATTGAATGCTCGATTGTTTCCAAAGCATTTGGAAGACAAGGTGCGTGTAAAAAATTGGGAGGTGACTTTTGATTTTTGACTCCTTGGTCAGTCAAAACCTGGGCTCCATACTGCTCATCACCAGCATCAACAACCTGCTTGAGGAAGTCGGGCCGCATGCCCTTAGGACCAGGTGCGGCACCGCGTGGCAAAGAGCGAAAGGCATTCACAACCTCATCACAGCTAATTTCATTGGCCGGTGGTGCTGCGGCCCGTGCTGTAGTGGCTTGGTGTGGAGGCCGTGCAGGAAACTTTGCGCTCATGGCAACGACAGTGGCCGGTGTAGGGGCGGCTAGTGGTGCCCAAGGTGCTGCACAGCCTTGCCCGGCATGCCTCGGCGGGCAAACTGCTCCGCTACGAGGCGGGCTGCCTGCTGCTTCTCCTCATCAGTTCTGGGTCGGTCCAGCCGAGGCCGACCACTACGGGCAACAGCTTCATCCCATAGGCTCCGTCGTTCTCCAAGGGCCCAGCGCTCCAAGCGGTTGGAACTGATGTTGTGGTACCGGCGGCGCTAAGCAGCACCACCAGGCAGCACAGCCAAGCAAGTCTAGCAAAACAAAAAAAATTCAAGCCAAACTAAACGACACCGCTTGCGCGGTGCTGCGTCAGCCAGCCCGCCCGGGTCCGCCCAAGCATCAGCCGTGTTATGCTGGAAGACTTGCACAATGCACCGAAAATTTCCTTTTTGCGCCGATGGCAGCAGGGCAGAACTGACCAAATCACGGGCGCCAATCGGAGTAGAGAAAAAGGCATCCAGGGAAGGTAAGCTACCAAGCACTGCCTCCAAGTCAGCATCTGAAGTGGCACCAGGAAGAGACAAGGGCTGTGGTCGGACAGCAAGACGATCTGCCGCACAAGTGCGGTGAGGGAGCACTCCCCACACGACACCATGTTCCGCGCCCTCAACCAGTCGGGCGGCACTGCTCCAGGGATCTGGCCAAGAATGTGAGCACCCACTTGAGCCCTGAGACCGGCAGAGGTTTCCCACCCACATGGAATCCCAGGAGCAGGCGCCATCCATGGCTTACAAATCTCTGCACAAGAACGCTAGGTCGCCAGTCATGTTGGCTCATCTGCCAACCCCATGACGTTTTGAGCAACTCACAAATGGCAAGAGCAAGGCTAAAGCAGTCGATTTCTGGCATGTTGCGCACGTTGGAATTGTTGTTCCGGGTGTTGGTGTAAGCGCTTTCGTGACCTTTTTTCCCAGCAAAGATCTGAAGAGGTCACCAACCAATTTCTCCTGGGGCGCCCCGGTCTTCGGAAGATAGGCGTATTTGGGACAGCACCGTCCCTACGAAAACTTACCTGTCTCTTCGAGCGCGATTGTCAGTGCTCAAACCGTGTCCAGTTAGTGGAAGCCTTCTTTCATGCAAACACCTTTCGATGCACCAAGCTAACCGGAAGAGGGGTTATATCTGGATGCAGCGGCTGCAACAGCCCTGCAGTAGACTTCGGTGTTCGTTCTTCCACGGTCGATGAGCGTTGTGTGATGTTGTGTGCATGTTCAGGATTTTTCGACAACCGCGTAGTTGGAAATTTTCGAGCCTAGAAAGTAAGGACTGCGTCAACTCCATCGTTTCAAGTCCATAGAACAAATTTGAACGGATCATGCTATTGTAGTAAAATGACAGGCTAGCTTGTGTTTTTGAGAAAGGCGCGCACGCGTTTGCAACTTCAGGTCGGTTGCCTACATGTCGTGTGAGGAGGCCCCAGGTATGCGACATGATCTTCATGTGGCATACGTCACGCCTTCCGCTCGTGGAGATAACTGCGCATTTTGATGTTTTGGATGAAAGGCCATAATACTGATACTGAGATTCGTCTTCAACAGCATGTAGCACGAGTGTTTTCAGTAATCAAATGTGCATGCTTGAGAGACAGCCACCATGCTGGACCCTGGAGCGTCGGCTTTCCTTAGCGGGTCAGCAATCGTGTGCTCTTTTGCACTGGACGCCAGGTGCCATCAATGTCGAGGCACATCGCTCCATAGCGGCATTGCCTGGTAGATCTCGAAGGGCGGTGGTGTGCCAGCTCAAGGCGTGTTGAGGTTGTTCCAAATGTGCATGTCGGCCATTGTTCACCTGTCGTAGATATATCCGCCGTGCAAAACATAGATGCCGGCGATGATGGTGCTCACGACGAGCCTTGAGTGCTTCCTGCCGTGCAGGAGTGCGACAGGCCAAAATTTGCATCTTGGACCAAAGGTTGAAGCCCCAACCATTGTCCAGGGAAAATCGTTCAACCTTCATACCAAGCTCTTTGGTGATGTGTCCAAATGCGGACTTTGCCACAGTAGATCTCTCAAAGAACTCGTCGATGATCTGGAGGATCATGTAGCTCTTGCGTGATGTAGGTTTCAGTCGAATTGGAGGTTGTGACCAACTGCGTCTCCATGGTGCGAAGGGCATGTCGATGCAAACGAGTGGACTGCAAGCCATGTGCAGGTATCTGTTCCTCGGCCTGGTAAACCTGTTCGAACTTGTTGAAGTCCTCGAAATGAAGATGGCTGCCAGGTGTCACTTCAGCTATGTGGAGGCTGAACAGGGCCTTGGTTGGGCCAAGGACAAAGTGCCAGGGTGATGAGCCAAAGCGAATCCTCTTTTGACTGAAGTCAATGCCCATGTGCAAGGCCTCAATCACCGGGCGACCCATCAACATTGGCGTATTGCCAGGAACCAAAGGGCCATCAATCATCACAGGCAGGTCCACTGTCCATGAGGCTCTCGAGGAAGCATCTCCGCCAAAGTGGAACTGGTGTTGATAGAGTAGTTCATGGAGCTCAGGTGGTTCAAGTAACGGCCAAAGGGGCCATAGCCACCAAACAAGCAGTCCTTGAGGTCTTCCAGTTGAAGTGCAATCATGACCCACCACCACTGCCCTTTAGAAGGCTCTGCTCCTGGCTATGGTCGACGCACCACCTACCTGGAGGATTATCAACCTGGCAGTGCTGGCACGTCCTGAGCCGGCCCAATTGTGGGACACGGCCTATGTGGTCGATGAGACCAGACCGGCCTTCTCAAACTCAAGTCTGAGCATCGCCAAGATGCCCTACGAACAGTGGAACGGCTCCACCGCAACCTTGGCCATCCTGCACCAGATGCTCTGGCAGACTTGTTGACCGCCAGAGGCGCTCATCCTACTGTGATTGCTGCCGCCAAGGAGTGCAAGTGTGTAGCCTGCCTCAAGCACAAGAAACCCAATCAAGTGGCACCTTCTTCCATGCCACAGCCCAAAGCCTTCAACGAAGTGATTCAGGCTGATGTGTTCTATCTCAAGCCTGCTGACCGCAAGTTCGCAGTGATGAACATTGTGGATGTTGGCACCAAGTTCATGGCCGCCTTCGCTCTCTATGAAGAGACCTCCAAGTCCTATATCACTGCCCTTGAGAAGATGTGGATCCGACATTTCGGACCTCCAAAGAAGTTGATCACTGACGAAGGTCGACCTTGGCTTGGCGGTCCTATGGAGTCATGGACAAGTGCTCTCGGCATAGATCATCAAGTGGTTCCTGGAGAAGCTCATGAACGCCTGTCCCTGGTTGAGCGCCGCCACGCGGTTCTTCGCCGCGCCTGTGAGGTCTACATGGATGATCGCAAGCTCAACGATGCAGCCGGCATCAAAGAAGCTCTTTGCTACGTGATTCCTCAACAGAATGCAACACCCTCCGTTGCTGGCTTCACACCCAGTCCATGGGTTCTTGGCTTCCGGCCTGAGATGTCCCACCTCTTGGACTCCAACCTCAACGCAGCACAACTGGCTGGAAACAACCACTCCTTCGAGGAGAATCTCGAGCGGCGAACCGCCGCCAAGATGGCCCTGGCATCGGCTGAAGCCGCGACGTGCACTCAGTCGCAAGTACCCAGGGCAGAATCGCGTCCTCCAGCTGGGAGAACGCGTATGGTTCTGGCGTGATGCACGACAAGGTGCACTGAACAAGATTCGTTGGCTTGGCCCTGCTCACGTTGTCCTTCGTGAAGAAGACACAGAAGCGGACATGGCTGCACAAAAGATCAAGACCTACTGGCTTGCTTACAAGACATAATTGATCCGAGCAGCCCCTCATCATGTCCGGGCCGACATTCTGGACCCACAACATGTGTTGGATGACTTGCAGTCTGCCCTCAACAAAGTGGTGAACCGCCTGTGAAAATCACGACTCGTGAAGAGTCCAAGACACGTGATTGACATTGTTTGGTCGGTTCAAGAGGGCGGGTTTTCGAGATCTCACTTCGTTCATGGCGGGACGGCAAAAGTGCCTGCTGGGGGAAGATCCAGGGCATTGATCGGTCCCAAGCTCCGATTTCGCATTGGTAGCGCTGTCACCCTCGGCAGCTGCGCTTTTCCGCTGACATGTTCGACGACCTCTACGACGAGCTCGAGCACGGCGCGGAAGAGATGGAGGATGCCGACCTCGAGGACTACCACTTCGAGGGCGCAGACCCCTTTGAGGATGATGATGAGGACGTCTTCGACTTCGGCGACGACCTCCCAGGCCTTCGCGGCCCTGTTGGACCCACCAGCCGTGCTGGTGACTTGGATGGCGCGGACTCGCAGCCGTCCTCACGAGCTTCGAGAAGGCGAAGAGGCTCCAGGGGATCCGGACATGGATCCAGTGAGAAGGAGAAGAAGTGGCGAAGTGGCCACATTCCAAGTCCCCCGACCTTCAGCGGGGACGTTGAGACCAACCCGTTTTGTTTGAGACATTACAAACGGGCCCTTCAGCGTTGGGTTACCATAACCCGAGACTTCTTGCCGGCCAACGAGCAAGCTTTGAGGGCATTAGATGCTTTGCAAGGTGATGCAGCTTTGGAACTGGAAGAGATTGACGACTCCAGATACAATCATGCAGATGGTATCACCACCCTCCTCGAAGACTTGGCTGTGAGCTTCGGCGAGAAGGAGCTGTTCCGAAAGGGAGGACTCATTCGTGAATTCGAGGGAATGGTTCGAGTCCAAGGAGAGAGCGTGCAAGCCTATGTTCGCAGGTTCAGGCTCATGGAACGCAAGTTGCAAGACGCTCGCATTCCTCAATACCCTTCGGAAACTCGTGCCGTCAAGCTCCTCGACGGACTTCGGTTGTCAGAGACTGCTACTGCCCAACTTCTCTTAGCTGCCGGCAATCGGTATGAGTTTGGTGCCTTGGTTGACGCTATCCGGGTACATTACCCGGCTGGCCTGACCCTGACCGGCATGACTCGTCACCCCGCTCCGCTCCACACCAACTCTGGACGACATCGAGGACGAGGCGGTGGTCACTCACATGCCGGAAAAGGCAAGGGCAGATCAGGCGGCACCTTGAGATGGAAGACATGGCGAAGGCGCCTTTGAGGACCAGTTCATCGACGGCGACTTCACCAACCTCATCAACGAGAATGATACGGTTGAGAACGACATCAACCCGGAGGACGACCCCTTCGATTACCAGTATGATGAGGAAGATGGTGAAGCCGACTGGGAGGCCCCTGATGATGGTGCTGAACCAGTTGGCGAAGCGCCCAATGAGATCGATGAGAACCAGGTGTTCACTGCCACCTCAAAGAAGCTAGCTCCGACCATGCAGGCTCGTGGCTACTATACCACTGCAAAAGGAAAGGGCAAGGGCTCATCCAGCAGCGGTGGAAAGGGCAAAGACAAGGGCGAGGGCAAGAAGCCTTCATTCACCCCGAGTCCAAAAGGTGGCAAAGGCAAGTCCGGCAAGAGTTTTTCCAAGGGCAAAGGCAAGAACTCAGCTTTGCACAAGCAGAGGTTACAGTCTAGTTTGTGCCTTGGATGCGGCGCTTCTGACCACTGGCTCAAAGAGTGTCCTCATGTCACTACACATCAGGCCCATCTTTGTTCTGCACCCATGACCCTGGACGGCAATGGTGCCGTGCAGGAGGACCCTCCGACGGTGTGGATGACCAGCTGGTCAACGAATGGCCATCGAGATGTTGGGACCCAGACTGAGGCACCACATCGCGGACTTCTTCAGGTGGGTTTCGCTGTTTCCCCTGTTGACTCAGGTTTCGCGGCACCGACCTCAGAGGCTATGACTTCAAGTTTTCACTCTCTGGCGACTGGTTCAGAGAGCATGAACGTGATGGCAAGGGACACCTCGCCATGTGGATCCTTGCAGCCTCCATCCGATCTTGGTGACCTCAATCCTGACGACTGGTGGGAGGAGCTTGATGATCGGGCCCTGTGGTCCGAGATGGCGGAAGACTGCCGCGCTGAACTGCGCCGGCTGGAGCTGAGCGCTGTTTCTTCTGAGGCACCTCCGCAGCTTAGTTTGACCGAGATGCAACAATATCGGGGAGAGGACCCAAGGACCTCAAAAGCCACTGTTTCTAGGGTTTTGGAGACGGCTCAACCTCTAGGTGATGCAGGCAGACAATATCGGGGAGAGGACCCAAAGACCTCAAGAACTAGGAGTAGGAACAAGGTTGAGTCGAAACAATATCGGGGAGAGGACCCCAGGACCTCAAGAACGGCGGAGGAGCCGCAAGGACTCCAAGTAGGGGCGGCGGAGACGCAAGGACTCCGAGTAGGATCATGGACACATCTCATTCCCCGAGGCCAAGGTGCTTTGGGGGCCGAATACTTAGCCCATGAGGCTCCCCGGACCGTAGCTAGCCGTGGATACGCTCACGACGACACTGCCGTGGTTCCCGGCCCCATCACCCGCCGGATGGAGCGCGAGAAGAGAGAGAAACATCGATCCAAAAGTGTGGATCCTCGCATGGAGGCGACCTGGATGGTGACTTTTTCCAACCAGGTCGAGCACATGTCAGACGACGGTGGTCGCCACTATGAGACTGTGGACCCCGACGGCAACTGCGCTGGCGGTCGCGGCGAGACTGAGGACCACGGTGGCACGATCGAGCATGCGCTTGAAGCCGAAGCTATCGCCAGAGGACCTTCTGAGGTGGCATCTCTGGCCATGGTGTACACCAATGAGCCGTGTCTTGTCATTGTAGACACGGGATGCCAGCGACAGGTGGCGGGGAAAAGATGGCACCAACATCATGCTCGACACGTTGAGTTGCCTCGTATTGCATTTCAAGAGAAAGCAAGTTTCAGGTTTGGCCCACACGCAGCTTCGCATTCATCTACACGATATGCATACCCATGTGGAGTCGGTGGTTGTTTCGTGGTCATGTTTTTCTCATGCGTTGAAGATGATGCCCCAGCACTCATGTCACGAGAGACACTCACCCAGCTGAATGCCATTGCCGACATCAACTCCGGCAAGATTCACTATAGGGCCTCACAGCTTTACATGAGCAGTTGCGGTCATTTGGCCGTACGAGTTGATGAATGGCCACAAGATTTACCAGAATGGCCGTGCGACATGAATGTGAACCCCAAGAACCTTCCCGATGTATGGACCTCCTCAGCCATGCCAGTGAAGGCTCAAAAGCTTCCACCGGCACGTCATCCTGCTGTTCGACCACCAGGCCATGCAGAGCAGCGGCAAGACTCCGCCCAAGTGGTTGAGGCGATGGCGTACGCTGCTGGTGAACTTCCTCCGGTTCATCCACAACGTGTTCAAGGCAGCCATGACCTATGCAGCGACCAGCATGCATCCCAACCTGAGGGATCAAGTTCTTCGCCATTTCCTGCTTCCTGGGACGGCGACCACAATGATGTCGACAACAGCTGCACAGACAGTCCAAGGCCAGTTGGGACAGAACCAGTACCCGAACAAGCCAGAGACCTGTCCTCATCCTTTGGGCCTACGAGCTTATGGAGCAGGCGGGCACAGTGTGAGGATTTGCGACCTGTGTGGCCATCGAGCCGTGTGGGACAAGGAGAAGGGAAGTCTTCAGAGCATCGTTCCCAAGGCCTCACCAACAGCCAAGACACCACTTGGATTGAGCAAACCGCTCGCCAAGGGCAAGGCCAAGGCAAAAGGCTCCGATCCTCGAACCGGGCCAACTCCTTACGCAGTCGATTCGGACATCTACAGTCCACCTTGGTCTGGTTGGGAACGCTCTTCGCCTTCGTTTCAGGCCTCTTCCTCAACACCGTGGCAGACTGGGATCCAAACTGGCATGACTCCATCCCAGGAGTGGACTCAACAACAGGTCATCGCCTCCCAAGTCATGAAGCAGATGAGCAAGCAGATGCAGGAGGATATGCAACGCGAGATGCAGAAAGAGCTTCAAAAGGCGCTCTACCTGGCCAAGAGTTCAATGATGACTCCTCCTCCCAATTTGGAGACGGCTTCAGTTTCAGCACAGAGCTGGGACCCGGTGAACCCCGTCGAAGAGGAGAATCCGAACGCATGGGATCACCAGCAGAGCGACTGGCAGTACGACTGGCAGGAACAGATCGAGCAGAACCACGAGGATGCCGACGAACAGGACGAGAACATGTCCATCCAATTCGACGGATGAACCTTTTGCAAGGTTCAGCTGATGTACCCCTGACCTATGAGGACAAGCAGTTCAGCTTCATGAAGCCGGGTCGTCAGAAACGCATGCTCGGCACTGTGAAGGCTCTTCAGAGACTTTGGGCAGTCGAGCACGCCATATATCATGAACGTCTTTCCTCCGCTTTGAAGATGAGGAAGTACAAGGTCGATCTGATTGAAGTATTTGGAGGCCGAGCAGCGATCACCGAATGCGCTCTACAAGCCGGTCTTCGAGCTATGCAGCCCATCGACCAAATGTATGACATCAAGCTCAACTCCAAGCAGGACTATAAGTGGTTGCGTGAGACGCTGGATCATTGGAAGCCAATTTTGACCATCTTCGAGCCGGAGTGCCGACTATGGAGCAATCTCACGAACCTCAACTACTGGTGGAGACCCCAAGAGCTGGAGCAACTCAGGTCGCAAGCAATGATCACCGTGCAGGAGGTGGCCAAATGTATCTCCGACATCATGGAATCAGAACCACCTCGCTATTTCCTTTTGGAGAACCCGCACGGTGGCAAACTTTGGGAGCAACCAGCCATTGTGGATCTCATCGAGCGCTATGGCTTGTACTACGACCACGGCCACATGTGTGCTTATGGTCTTCGCGGAAGAAACCATGAGCTGATCAAGAAAGCCACTGGTTGGTTGTCCAATGACCCTCATTTGCTTCAAGCTTGCTGTCGAAAATGTCCAGGAAATCATCAACACGAACCCTGTCTCGGTGGCAACGCACAAAAAGCAGCCGTCTACACCAAGGCATTGGCTCGATCTATCATCCGGAACTTCACCGAACTTCTGCACTCTTTGGGAGATGAGCGTTTCATTCACGCCTATACTTCCTGGCCTGCAGAGGAAACCTTTGATGCAGATGAAACTGAACCATACCCCGACCTCAACAAGGACGTCGACCTCTGGAGACCTATGCTACTTGAAGCCGCTCAACGGCTAGAAGGCAAAGTGGCTCAGAGTGCAGAAATTCGCAGTTCAGCCTACAAGGAGCAGATCAAGAACCTCACACCATGGCACCTCGAGTATGTCCAGATCTACAGGCTGCCCAAGACTCGACGTATGCCTACTCGGAAGATCCTGGAAACTCCAAACATTACACATAGAGGTGCAGTTCTTCTGTTCCAAGACGGGTCCATCGAGGTTGAGTCACAAGATCTCAGCAAGATCAAGAACCCACAGTCGAGATTCGATCGGACCGTGAGAGTGGCAATCTTCCTCTACGGCAAGCCCATGATCATCGAGACCACTGCTCAGAGGAAAATGGTTCGCTTTCAAAAAGATCAGCCTCCTGCAGTTGAAGCTGCAGAAACTCTGGAACATTGGCAGGCTGGCGCCAAGGACATGACCTTCCCTGGGATCACTGTTGATCAGGTGCCACTCTGGATGCAAAACGTCATTCGACGTCTTCATACCAACCTTGGACATCCAGCCACAGGCACTCTAGTTCGACAGTTGGCACAAGCACAAGCTACCCCTCAAGCTCTGATTGCCGCTCGAGCCCTGAAATGCAAAGTGTGTGAACGCATGCAGAGCAATCGTGAAGCAAGACCAACCAAGCTGCCTGGTACAGCTAAGACCTTCAACCAGCGTTTGATTGTCGATCTCATCTATGTCCATGACATCATGGGAACAGCTTTTGTTTTTCTTAGCCAGGTCGACGACGCCACAACGTTTCATGTGATGTCCTTTCTGGAGAACAGGGAGGCAAGCACGATTTTGTCAGCACTGGAATCCGGTTGGTTTCGTTTTTTTGGAGCCCCACAACACCTCCTTGCTGACGCGGAAGGCGGCATTCGAAGCAACCTGTTGGAAGAACACATGTCCTACCACGGCACCACCGTCAGATACATTGCGCCTGACGCTCACTATCAGCTAGGTCGAGGTGAACGTCATGGTGCCATAGCACGAAATATCCTGTTGAAGCTGATCCATCAGTTTGGTTTCTTTGGACCTGAGCATGTGACCCTTGCTGCAAACATGGCCACTGAAGCCAAGAACTGCCTGATCAGACGGGGAGGAGCCAGTCCGGCTCAATGGGTGTTCGGTTTGAACCCACGTCTTCCGAGCTCAGTCATCTCCGAGTCTGAGAACCCCGAGAGCATGGAGATGTCCTTGAGCCAGAAATTCCAACAAGTTGAAGCAGTTCGCTATGAGGCCATGCGCCAGTTCCTGAACATGGAGAGCAGCGAGAACCTCAAGCGAGCAATGTTGAGAAAGTCTCGACCCTGGCGCGGCCCCTTCACGCCAGGTGAGAAAGTGGCCTACTGGAGGCTGAGAAATCCCGTCGACATGGAGGGCGGCATGCCAGGCTACAGACAAGGCATCATCCTGGCAGCCGATCCTGGGCCCACAGGATCAATTTGGGTTCGAAACGATCGTGGACGCATTGTTCAAGTTGCAAGAGAACAACTGAGGCACCTCCACGGCGAAGAAGCTTGGATACCAGGCAACGAAGATTTTGCTTTGCTGCGAAATGCGGAAGCAGACCTTTCGACTCAGCATGGAGCAGGACAACATGACCTTCGAGATGCACCACGAGCTCTACTACCTGACGCGCCTGCTGCTGCTGAAGCTCCGTTGCCTTTGTTGAACCAAGATGAATCGGCAGAGACACCACCGACAGCACCACTACTGGCTCTTCCTCCAAGTATGGCCATTGCACCGCCAGAGGAGCCATCACTGCAAGACACTGGTGTTACCTCTCTGGATGCCACAGGGAATCCTTTGGAGCCCAACACTCCGCTCATGCCTGCAAGTGAGACAACACCTGAAGACATGGATACAAGTTTCATGGAGCGAGCTCAGAGAAGAAGCACCGATGGCAATGAGTCCGAGGCCAAGAGGCTCAAAACCTTGTCTTCTTCTTCCTCTTCGTTTCCCCCAACACCATCTTTGTCTCGCAGGACGTCTCTGAGTATGTCACCTTTTCCTGAGGCTGAAGCTCTGGCTCGCCAGATCTCAGCTCGCACACAAGTTTCAGCTGTCATGGCGCCAGTCCCTGAAGAGAGCTGGGAAGAGGAACCTGTGGCAGCAGCCGTTCGTGATGAACCAGCAGCTCCTGCCGCATCACCAGCTGAGACTACAACGAATTTGGACGAGATCACCCACGAGATGTTGGTGGTCAATGCACGCACCTTTTGTCGGAACTGCGGCAGCATCGAGAAAGAGATTCACGCCGGCAGTATTCGATGCCGTCAATGCCTGAACGAGATCTTCACCGACAAGATTGACCAGGTCTATGGAAACCTAGGTGAGCACTATTTCTTTGACCCTCGGGTCAAGGATTGGAGACCTTCGACTTTGGCAGATCAAGAGGATTTACATCTTCCTGATCAAGGAGAACTACAAGAGATTTGGTCCACGGGAATTTGGCACAACGACGAGATCCTTCGTCTACGAGACGACCAACCTGAGCTTCCAAGCTGCACTGGATCTACATCTAAAAGCATCTCCATCTGGAGCACATCTGAGCAACGGTGGAGTTGGCACACCTTGTTCAACGACACCATCGACAGCAACGACCAGATAGAGAAGCCCAAGAAGAAGGTAGTCATCTACCACGCCTCACAACTTGGCAGGCGCCGGTTGAGTCCACGAGCTATGAGGCAACATCGAGCACTCTACGGCCCCTTCAAGACTCATGAGATTTGGCTTCTACGTCATGGTCGCTCGGATGCTTTCCGTGCCGGCTGGGATGGAGCTGCTAAGGAGTTTCAAACCCTATGCCAAGGCAGTCAAAGCTTCTCCGTGGCATGTCAATTCCAGGAATGGGAAGATGCAGTTGCAGAAGGCAAGATTCAGCCCAGTGAGAATGTGTACCAGGCGCTGATCACCAACCAAAACCATCAGACACTGCCTGACACCAGTGATGAGGAGGACTCAGGCCTTCGCAGAACACAACGACAAGCTTTGAAGAGAGAACTTCCTTGGCGATCCATTGCCAAGGCCGACATTCCCCAGTTCATCGAAGCCATGCAGAAGGAATGGTTGGAATGGTGCAAATGGAGCTCCTGCAAGTTGTTCAAGGGTGACCGCAAGAAGATTAGCCGAGACAGAATTTTGCCCAGTCGTGTTTGCTTCAAATGGAAGCCCATGGATGGAGGTTCATGGTACAAGGCCAAAGCAAGAATTGTGGTGCAAGGTTTTCGTGACCCTCACCTACCTTTGTTGTCGCGTGACGCCCCTGTCCTTTCTCGAGCAGGTCTTTTCTGTTTGTTGCAGTGGTCAGCTTCACATCATGCCCCACTGTACAACGGCGACTGCAAGTCAGCCTTTCTGCAAGGCAGCCCTGACACAGAGAGGCCATGCAGTATCTTCATGAAGGCGCCTCGCGACGACATTTCGCGACAGGCCATTGAGGAGTGGAACCAGGACACTGAGGTCTTGTATGAGTTGTCAGCTCCAGTATATGGTCAAGCAAACGCTCCTCGGCAGTGGTTCGTTCATGTGCTGACCACACTGAGCAAGCTGTCTTGGGAACAACGCTCTTTGGACCCCTGTTTGTTTTTGCGACGAGACACTCCTGATGGTCCAGTGACTTCACTGTTGGGAATCCATGTAGATGACATCATCACTTGCACCATTAGCTCAGACTCCTCGGTCCTCGACGATGTGAAGAAAGCTTTCACTTGGGGAAGCGAGTGGGAGTGCGATGATTTTGTTTTCATCGGTAGGAGGATCACTCGGCACAAAGACACTGACGGTTGCATCACCCTGTCACAGTCACACTATGCCTCGGAGGTCATTTTGACCAAAGACAAACATGACCCTGCCGACAAGATGTCCAACGACAAAGAAGCCATGTCAGAGTTTCGATCGGCAATCGGTTCATTGCAGTGGCTTGCAGGGACAACTCGTCCTGATGTGGCAGCTGACACGTCGCTTCTCCAGAAGAGTCACGATGAGCTCACTTACGGCGACCTTCAGGAGGCCATCGCCGTTTTGCGCTATGTGAAGGCCACGGCCGACGCCCTCATCAAGGTGCGCCCCTTAAAGTTTGAAGACATGATTTTGGTGGCTTATGGAGATTCGGCTTTCGGAAATGCACCTGGTGGAAAAAGCCAAGGAGGACTGATCATCACGGCCACGGAATCTTCAGCTTTGGAAGGGAGTGGCAAGGCATCCCTTCTTTACTGGCGATCTTTCCGCCATCAAAGGGTGCTTCGTTCCACCCTTGCTGCAGAAGCAGCTAGTCTGGACAGGTGCGAAGATGAAGCTACCTTCATAGGTTGCATGATGGGCGAGATGATCGAGATCGGCTACAAGGCTGCCTTTTCGGGGAAGTCCCCAATCCCGATCCATCCAGTCACAGACGCTCGATCCTTGTTTGACTCAGTCCATCGACTGACCTCAAGCTTTCAGGAAAAGCGAGTTGCCATCGACATCGCGGCGCTCCGTGAAAGTTGCAAGATGCTTCGTTGGCTCCCGACGGAAGAGATGGTCGCCGACGGCCTGACCAAGAGAAGCAAGGTTCTGAGGGATCGTCTTAGGATGTGGATGTCCGACCCGATCGTAAACCTCAAAGAGGCACACGACGCCACGGACGACCTTCAGACATGTGAACCTCTCCGACCCAACAAGTCAAAAGAAAATATGACCCGTGTGAAAATCACGACTCGTGAAGAGTCCAAGACACGTGATTGACATTGTTTGGTCGGTTCAAGAGGGCGGGTTTTCGAGATCTCACTTCGTTCATGGCGGGACGGCAAAAGTGCCTGCTGGGGGAAGATCCAGGGCATTGATCGGTCCCAAGCTCCGATTTCGCACCGCCAACAACTGGAGGACGTGGAAGAAGACGAACAACACACTGATCCAGACGGCCCTCTTCAAGAAGATGATGACGATGAACCTCCCAGGCACCGCCTTTCGATTGGAACCACCGCGCACGACGACAGAGGCAACACCTCCAAGCATCGAGATGAATGAGGGTGAGTATGAACCAACATCACCTGCACACTCGAGCTTTGCACCGACCTCACCACGGGCAGCGCCCTCACCAGCAGCAGCCACCCGCACAAGATCAAGTTGATCAGCAGTGAAGGGGGTATCCTTTGGCAATTGATGTAGGCACATCTTGGAGCGACGAGGGATCACATGATGGCGGATCAGACAACCCGCTTTGATTTCCCAGAAGTCGCGATCTCTCTTGTCCAGCTGGAAGTAGCCATTCTCGTAGGTCCAGCCTCTCGGAAGGCAGTTAGCCTCAAGGCTAGAGACTTGAAAGGCATGGTTCAGCAAGGCATGATCTGGGGCCTTCTGGCTGACATAGAGGGCAGGATCATCCGAAGCAGCTGATCGAAATGAGGGATGGACTGATGATTTCTATGAAGAGCTGCGCAAGGACCTGCAGTAGGCTGTGCGGACTGCTCAGGCTTGCACCCACGTGCAGGTCCTGCAAATATGACCAGCATGCCAAGCAACCTCATCCAGCAACACTGAGTAGCTAGACAGTGCCCAGCCTGCCACCCGAGTGGCGGTCCTGGATGGATACAAAAGAGTACAGGTCTGTACAGAAACTAGGACATAGGATAACGGGAGCTGCCGATACTTGGGCTGGCGCTTCTGCTGCTGCCGCTGTTGCTGGTGTGTCTTGTTCTGCTTTGCGCTGTTTTGTTGTGCCTTGTTCTACCGGTGGTGTCGATGCCGATGCTGGTGTTGTCGTGTCATACGGCGGTGGTGAACCCGTGCGCTGTCTTCGCAGGGGCCTAAAGCTCAGTTTTTCTTGTTTGTTGAACCGGTCTCGACGTTGACGGAAGGTCTCGGCATCCACGGTCTCGTACAGCGCTGCTGTGGCAGGGTCCAAAACAGGTCTTGGCACTGGAGCCGGTGGTGTTGGTGACGGTGCTGCATGTGGCGTAGCCGTTCTCGATGGTACGGTTGGTTCCTCACTGGGTTCAACCACAGTGGGTGCTCGTGAACGAGACCTGGTCGTGGCTGGTGAACCTGGGACAGCGATGGAAACTGGGGCCGGTGCCAGTGGCAGCATGTTTGGTTCATGTACGACAACAATGGCAAGAGCACTCAACAGACCGATGATGTCTTTGCCAAGGCACCACTTCAAGGAGCACGTCAACTTGGCAAGGAGACCAAGCTCCGACATGCCAAAAGCTTCAAGAAAGACAAGAACGAAAACAACCTCTCAGAGCGCAACATGACTCCAGATGAGCGCGCAGCATTCAAAGCCGCAAAGGTTAAAGAACTCCAGTCATTCTTCGACAACCATGTGTGGCATTTTGAGACCACGCGGGAAGCTGAGCCCAGCCGGACACTCACGAGCCGGATGCTTTTGAAATGGTCGAAGCAGTCCCCGGGCTAAAGCCAGACTCATTGTGCGTGGGTTCATGGACCCTGATGCTTGGGAAGGCACTGTCCCGACTTCATCTCCCACGACCACCAGGTTGTCAAGGTCAATGTTGTTGAGTTTGGCCTCCACCATGCAGTGGCCGATCTGGACCTCGGACATTGCCACGGCTTTTCTACAAGGAAAGCCACAGACACGCAAATGGTTCCTCAAGAGTGTTTACAGTTGCTTGGGGCCACAGCTGACACTCGTATGCTGCTCCTCAAACCTTGCTACGGTCAAATCGATGCACCAAGATCTTGGTACATGGCTGCAGTTGACAAGTTGCGTGCTATGGGCCTGCGACAACACCCTCAGGACCCCTGCTGCTTTCTAATGTATGAAGGTGATCTCAACCCTGAGTATGACGCCACTGCTGAGCATTCCAACCTGCTCGGATCACATGGTCTTTGTGGTATGGTCATCATGCATGTTGATGACGTGCTTGGGTGTGGCTCTCCAAACTCCCAGTGCTACAATGACACCATCACCAAGCTGAAGGGCACCTTCAACTTCCGTGAATGGAAGACTGGCGACGATGGAAAGCCCCTGACCTACTGCGGTTGTGACATCAAGGTTCAGGACAATGGCTTCCTTCTCAACCAGACCAGCTACATGGGAAAGGCGAAACCGATCACCTATGACAAGAAGCGCAGCCTGACTGACACGCTCAATCAGCGCGAGCTGACGCAACTGAGAGGACTTCTTGGTTCATTGCAATGGCCTGGTGTCCAAAGCAGTCCGCGTCTACAGAGCAGCGCTTCCATTTTGAGTGGCCATGTCACCAAGGCCACGTTGCAGACAGTAGCCGACACCAACCGCTTGCTGCGTTTCGCTAAGGAGAACGCTGATGTGGGCCTCCACTACAGCCACCTGGGCGAAGTTTCAGAGCTTTGCTTGGTATGTTTCTTTGATGCTGCATTCGCCGCCCGCAGTGATGGAGCCTCGCAAGCTGGCTATGTGACCTTGTTGGTCAACAAGTCCCTGCTGCAGGCTGATGGTCCCGAAGGGGCATATCATGTGTTGGACTGGCGCAGCATGAAGACGCCAAGAGTTGCTCTCTTCGTTGGGCGCAGAAGCGCAAAGTGGTGGCCAGGCATGTGATGCCCTGGAGCATGCGAGCATCTACTGGAGCTTGCTGTTTGATCCTCGTCAGCGGCTCAAAGAGCTTTTGGACGCTCCCTCCTTGTTGTCGCCCACCATGATCACGGACGCCTCGTTTGCCGTTCTACCTTTTTCGCAGTTGGAACTTTGAGATGACATTGATTGGATTTGGCATGCGTCACACGTTCACCAGCACCGGGCGCTTCAGCATACTCTTGGCATCAATCGCCTGGTTCTTTCCTATTTCGCACCTGCCGCTCTTTCCTCCAGCGGTTCCTGTGCTTCCGGTTTCTTGCGCTTCGTACAGTGAGATATGCGACATGCCAACAGCTGTTGCGCTCACAATGGCCTCCACTTGATCTTCTTGGCCTTGAAGCGAGTCCCCTTCACGCTTGCTGGTTCTTGATCTCTTGTTCCACCCCCCTTGCTCATTGTAACCTAGTTTTCTGTCGGCGTCGCCCAGCAGCCCCTTTCTTCCTATGGTCGCAGCGTCACTGGAAGCCTTTTACAGTTCATGACCTTCACCAGCCTTTCGACCCATCCGCTATTTGAGACTTACATGCCTGAGGACTCTCCCACTTGCTATTCACGGCGTTCATTTGTTTTTTGTTTCACCCTAATGCCGGTTCGTTTTTCAATTTCACCGTCAGTTTGCTGGATCAGCCTAGCGTGTTTCCTTTCCGACATCGGAGGTGCCACACGGGCACTCGGTCAGGAAGGCGCGTAAAAGTTTTTTCCGTTCCATTTCACTTAATTAATTCGATCAGACCTTCTTCGTGCCTTGGCTTTGCACAAGATGCACTGGGCAGTGCTGGGCAGTGCGCAAATGTTTTCGAGAAGGCGTGCGCGGGCCTTTCGACATGCAACCTCGCATACATTTTTGCAAACAGGCTTTTCTCTACACGACACAAGCTTGCATTTGTCGAAACTTTGTTGTACATCCGGTTATTTTTTGGCACGCCTTTTTCCGCGGCAAGTCCTGGCGACTTTTCTATAAACGGAGGGCGATTTATTTTAGTTTCTAATTTCTTAAGGGATTTTTTGTTTTTCGTGGCTTTTGGCTTCTGGCTTCTGTGGCTTCTGGCTTTTGTGGCTTTTGGCTTTCGCGGCTTCTGTGGCTTTTGGCTTTCGTGGCTTTCGTGGCTTCTGTGGCTTTTGGCTTTCGTGGCTTTCGTGGCTTCTGGCTTTTGTTTTGGCTTTCGTGGCTTCTGTGGCTTTTGTGGCTTTTGGCTTTGGTGACTTTCGTGGTTTCTATGGCTTTTGTCGATATATCTGTCTACCTATCATTATTCATTACCTATCCATTTATTTGTCTTTATCTATCTGTCTATATCTATCTATCTGTTTGTCTGTCTATCGATCTATCTATCTATCTCTCGATCTATCTATCTATGTTTCTTTCTTTCTTCCTTTCTTCCTCTTTCGCAGCTGTTCTCCTTTATGTTTTTGCTTTTCCTTTTGTTCGCTTTGCAGAGAAGAAACCAAACAAGGAAGCAGGCAAGCAAGCAAGCACGAGCTGCTCACCTTTGGATCTGGTGTGCTGCTGGGGGGCGCTGCGCCCCCCCAACCCCCCCCGCGCCACGAAATCTGCACGTCATCTCCACCACCCGCGCCTGCCACGAAATCTTTCTCTTTGCTTTTCTGCTAACTGCACCAAACTGTTGTGATAGGCAGAATTTTCTCTCACACTTACACTATTCCAATTTTAATCTGTCTACCTATCCATTTGTCTGTCTATATCGATCTATCTCTCTATCTCTCGATCTATCTATCTATCTATCTATCTTTCTTTCTTTTCTATCTATCTATGTATCTATCTATCAATCCATTTACCTGTCTATTTTTCTATCTGTTTATCTGCACTTCAACATCGACAAAGTCCTGCACCTGCCACTAAATCGAAATCTGCACTTCAAGGCCCGCAAAGCACTGCACCTGCCACGAAATCTGCCCTTCAAGGTCTACAAAGTCCTGCTCCTGCCACGAAATGTGCACCCCAAGTCCCACAAAGTCCTGCACCTGCCACCAAATCTGCACTTCAACATCCACAAAGTCCTGCACCTGCCACGAAATCCGCACTTCAACACCCACAAAGTCCTGCACCTGCCAGGAAATGTGCATTTCGAGGTCTACAAAGTACTGCACCTGCCACGAAACACGAAAAACAAAAACAATAGTTAAAAAAAACGAAAATATCATAAATTAAATCCACGCCCTTTATAAACAGGGGTGTGTTGAACAATTTTGTGTCCACTGTGTGTGCTGAAACAAAGGTGGACAACATAGAAAGCAACGTGGCATCAAACATGGGAAAAACTGGAAGGAGGCTTTGGTGGGGAGTGTCAGGGTTCAGAACATTTAAACCTGAGAGGTAAGGGGCCTAGGCCGGTACCTAACCCCCCAACTGCCTCCACCACAGTTGTGCCAGGTTCGTTGGAATCTCAAATCAAAGAAAATGGTTCATATGTTGTCGGATCCACTTCATGAGTTCTTTTTTTTGGAAAGGCCACGCCGCCGCTTGCGGCTTTCACTGCCTACATCAAACTTGATTTGGTTGCTGGGTTTCATTCCACATTCCATGTCATGAGTCCTTTGCACTCTCAGTCAATGTTGTGGAAAAGGGTAGAGAAGTGGTGGAGGGTTGCTAAACCAGGTGCGTAGTGCGCCGTCAAAAACAGTCAGAAAGTCTGCAGATTTGGTGGCTTGCACACTCCTGACAACATAAGTGCTCATGAGAACGCCTAGTTGTGTTTCATGTGCAGAATTCTTTGTTTTGAGAGTATTTCTGCGACACTAACGGTTGCATTTCACGTGCTGGAATGTCGTGGATGCCCGCAATGTTTCACAGTCAAACGATGCATCATCCTTCAACTCCATGGCTATTGATAGCCCTTTGCACCTTGCGATTCCGGACGCCTAAACCTAGCTCAGTACGTCAAAGTCCAAGTGCCTTTGTCGCAGACACCAGGGTAGTTCTTTTAGGTAGGTTTGACGACTTGACACTTCTTAATGGCGGTCCGAAAGGGAAACTCAAGGGCTTGAGTCGAGTATACCGAGGCTGTTTCATGCGCCGCTGGGCGCCAGCTGACGCGCGCCACTGGGAACCGGGGTGGCAAAGTGGTTATGTCGCCAGATCTTCACGTTGGCAAAGGAAAGGAGGCGAACCGGCTGCACCTGCAGATGCTGCGGCCACGAGCACGGCAACGAGCGCAGAGAGCCTGTGGTACTTTGGTTTCGGCGCGAACATCAACCCGTGGAAACTGCGTGAGCGACGGAAGATCATACCCATCGACCAGGTCTGTGGAAGACTTCCAGGTTGGCGACTGACCTTCAATCACAAGGGTGGCATGGGTAATATCGAGCGCTTGGACTCACCAGCGCTGACGAATCGTGGCCCTGATGAAGTTCATGGAATGCTGCTGCATTTAAGTGCCCGGGATTTTGAAAAGCTGTCTGCGATGGAGTACGAATATGGCACCACTGATGTGCTGGTCTCCGCCTATGATGGTCGCGAGATTGCTGCAAAGGCTTTTGTGAGTTCTCCTGAGTGGAAGCTCGCCGGAAGTCTTCCACCCCCTGAGAGGTATTTGAAACTAATTCGGGATGGCTGCTCGGAGATGGGCATTGATAGTGCATATCAAAACTGGCTGAGATCCCTGCAAAGCCAGAAAGGTCAAAGAGGTGCAGAGTATTGGACAGTTGCTCAACCAAGCAAAAAGCAAAGAACTCCAAGCGTAGGTCGAGACGAGATGTCTGCAGGGCCATTGTGCCTTGGCGCCCTGCAGGCCTTTGCAGTTCCATGTGATCTGGTGGACATTGGGGCAAACCTGGGAAAATGCTCGGAGCAAGATCTGGCGGCGCAACTGGTGCGAGCTGCAGCTGCCAAAGTGAATCACGTGATCCTCACCGGCTGCGACTTGCCTTGGTCTCCGTGACAGTTTGTTGGATGTTATCGTTCTTCTTTATGGTTGTGACTCTAGGGCAGGTAGGTGCTCGAGGAGAAAGGCGTCATCCAGGCACCAAACACCATACACCACTTTGGGTCCCAAGGCAGCGTGAAGGGCTCGCGGGATGCGCGGCGCATTTGCGAGCAGTGGACTGGGGGGTGAAGCTTGGGAGAAGATCATGAAGTGTGTGGGAGCGGCTGCGCGCCATGAGCATCTTGGACGCCATGAGCCTGGTGTCTCTGTGTTTGAATGGACCTCCAACCAACCCTCCAACCAATGGGTTTGGGTCTATTTAATCTATTTCTCTTCTTCCCGGGGGTCGAAATGGGAGGTCTCAAGAAAACACTGGCGGAGTCGGTTGTTGTCATTTTCGTCCGTTCCTTTTTTTCCGGAGTCGTGTCGATCCGAGGATCGAGGGCACGAGCTTGGATCGCTTGCCTCAGCTGAATTTCACGGCGGGTGTTCACCCCCACGACGCGAAGAGCTGCGATTCCAACACCATGGCGGTGCTGAGAGAATTGGCAGCTGCACCTGGATGCGTATCCATTGGGGAGTGCGGCCTCTTGAATTTCTGGCGGTTCAGTGGGAGAGATGCCGAATTGATCTTTCTTGGAGATCCCCCTGCTGCATCCCAAATGATCCCAAAAGCTAAACTCCACTCCCTTACATGGAGTTTCTCTTGTTTTGCTCCTCGCGACGACCAGATGTCGTAAGGTTTAGACTACGACCGCATGTTTTCTCCGCGAGAGGTTCAGTTGGAGTGGTGCCGGAAACAGGTGGACTTGGCAGTGGAGCTGGGCATGCCTTTGTTCCTCCATGAGAGGGACAGGGATTCCAACAAGGGCAGGCCCTTGGGATCCTCAGTGGATCTCCGGCGCATTCTGTCAGAAAGCAAGGTGGGCAGTGGGCCTGAAAGTCCATTTTTTTGACCACCACGGAGGGGTTCAGGGGTTGTCTAGTGAGATTTAGGCTAAGCAGGTTGTGTTGAGGTTGAACATGTTCCCTCAGGTTGACCCAAAGAAGGTCTGCATACACTGCTTCACTGGCAATGGAGAAGACTTGCGGCAATATGTGTCCGCAGGCACTTTGGGCACCACTGTTCGTCGATCAGGAGTTATGACTATGACCTCAGCCAAATTTCACTTCATTGATGTGGAGTTATGATAGAGGAGATGCTTTATATTTTTTTCTTGCGCAATTTTGGAAAGCCCAAGAATTGCGACTAGGCTATTTATACATTTTATTCCATTAGTTGCACTAGAGATGAATTAAGCGGTTTAGACAACTTAAGCATATACCAAAGAAGTGTGCGTGTATGTGTGTATATATATATATATATGTGTGTGTGTGTGTGTGTATGTGTACACGTGCATGTACATGAGTCAGGGCTGCATGGCCACGCCACAACTGATTCTGAAATATTTGCCATTGGAAGGCTACTTCATTGGACTGACCGGCTTTGCTGGTATGAAGAAACGTGGGGCACACATTCGTCAGTTGCTGGAGCAGGGGGCGTTGCCACTACAACAGCTGATGATCGAGTATCATGTCGAAATGGCTCCGATATTGCAGGTCATGCAAACCAATCATCAATCGATTCTCAAAACACTTCGTATTTGTGGTCAAAGTCAAACCGGTTTTCTTGCAGCACCCACCACAAGAGTAGACAATCCTTCGTGCACCTGGTAGCCAGAGTTCGTTTCTCCAGCTCAGGACAGATTGTCCATTCATGCTACCCGACAAGGAGTACTTACCAGATAAACTGGGAATTGCTGGGCGTGACTTGGCTGATTTCAAAGCTTCTGGAAAACGATGGTCGCGATTGACATGGCCTGAAGTAAGCTGCCCAATGCCGATCCCTGCAAGCAGGGCCAAACATTTTGCATTCTCATCCATGAAGCTGCTTTCTGCATAGGTATACACCAAATTGACACCCATCTGAAGCTGAGGCAAGAATGAGCCCTGCAGCATGCCAGCCGTTTGCCGTGCCATTGCCGAGTGTCTCAAGGCCAGGACGTCCGTTTTTGGCCTTTCTAGATGGATAGCAAGGGGTTGTAAGATTTTGGGTAGGACCGTCGGTGGTTCTGGTTGATCTTGGAGGTTTGCGGCCGTGTTCTCAGTCTTGACGCAGGTGGCTCCTGAACACGTGGCGCAAGCTACCACCTCCAATGCCGTTGAATTCTTTGCCCTGACTTAGACGAAAAGGGTGCGCAGCTCCGAGACTTGGTTTTGATGCAAACCATTTGGGATGCAGAGGTCACAAATTCAATGTGCATCCTTTTTGTTCGCCAGAGACCAGACAGTTGAGGCACCCCTGCATACATTGGGATGTATTTGGCTCAATCGTGAGAATGCCACGAGCATGGATTTCTCCCCAGTGCCGTTGCTGGATGTCCTACCGCACCATCGGGTTCTTGACATCACAGGTTCTTCCTGCAAGGACTTGGCACTAGCTTTGCACGAAAGGCTCTTGACCAAAGAGGATGGTGCCAGGTCCTCGAGTGGAAAGGTCTGGGCGGCCCAGCCCTGGCAGGTGCCACAAGGTCTTCTCTTCGCCAATGCCGCTCGGCCGGAAGATCTGGAGCCGCTCATGGCCACGGTGCCAGAGAAGCTCCGAGGCCCAGTCGTGTTCACCGTGTCGCCACCGCAGAGCTTCCCGCAGATCTACATGGCTTCCAGTCGTGTTCTCCCCTGTGTGGTGCAGTTCGATCAGGTTTTGTGCAGAGTGAGTTCCAGCCATGACTCGGAGAAGCTTCAGGCTTGGCATATGCACCCCCTGCAGCTGAAGATCTTGCGCCGGGGCCTGCGGTTTTTGGCGCCCGGTGGCCGGCTTTTGTACATGACCAGCTCCGAGAATGCCATGGAGAATGAGGCGGCGGCCTGGCTGGAGGAAGGAGTTGGTATCCATTTCCCCCACTCTTAGGTGGGGAGGTTGCCGCGTCATTCCTTTTGTGTTCTCCTTCTTCTTTTTCTTCACCACCTTTTGTTTTGGGGGGTCTCGAAGTCTCTCATGTAGCATGGTAGTCCTATTCCAAGGTCGTCGCGGCGGCCTTGACCTCACAGCCGAATATCCGGCTTGTGCAAGTAGCATGGCCTCTGCATGCAGGCTGGTCCTCCCTGGATGCGATGCAGGCTTGGCCAGTCCTCAATCCGAACAAGTTGGGTTTGGCATTTAACTGTTGGGAAGAAGTTCCTCGGCAGATGCGAGGGGGCAAAATCTTGCAGACCATGTTTCCACCGGGCCAGACACAGGCAGAAGTGACTTCGCAGTTGAGCCGCTGCTTGCGCGCCAAGCGCCTCGATGAAGCTCTTTTCGTCGCTCTCTTTGACAAGGTCGCGGATGAAGCGTTTGCGTCCGATTCGGAAGGCCCGGACAGCGCAACGCTTGATGGCTTCAAGCGTGGGTCAAACGTTGTAGTCAGAGCCACCGGTGACCCTGCGATTGTGGTGGGTCCCGGCCAGAAAGCTTTCAAAGGTTTGATCAAAATCCGATACCCAGACCGGACCACTTACCATGTGGAGTTGGGGGACATAGAAGATGCAAGCCACCGGCTCAGTCAACTTCTTCGACTGAAGCTGGGAATCTCCGGTCTTCTCCTCCTGGCCTTTCGGCGTGTCCTCCAGCGGATCATCCTCCAACGTCCACGACTTCTCTTGCTCAGCCTCCTCGTCTCCCTGCTGGGCTGGCGCCTTCACCTGCGCCGTAGACAGACACCGGGACCGATGGTGACCTCCAGGGTCAGCGCTTCAGCGTCCAGGTTAGTGAAGCGCTGTGCGAAGATCCCGGAGGCGGTGCTCAGCTTCGCCGAGTTTTATGGCTTGGAGCTGCCCCACGACGATCTGCCAGCTTGCTCCGGAGTGGGCCAAGTGGAGTTTCCATACCGAAGTTTGGGCTACAGGACTGCTGACAAGCAGAACCTATATTTGGTATCTCCCAGTGTTTTCGATGTACGCGTGCCTGAGCAGTTGCGCCACAGCATGTGCGGAGCTCCTTTTTTGCAGCGCTGCATCAGCAGTGAGGAAGTGAAGCGCTGGGGTTGCTCACTGAGGCCAACGGCTGCTGCAGCAGAGTTCTTGAGTCAGTGCTGCTTGCGACAAAGATTGGTGATTGAACCCAGGCAGTTGCACAGCTTGCTGGAGAATGGTCAGATAAAGTTGAATTTGCATCACTCTGAGCTGCTGGACGGCGGAGTGATTCTGGTACAGGAGAATGACGAAGGGTTGCTGCGTGGTATTCCTGGAGTTTTTCAAGCTGGTTTCGTTCACCTCAGTTGAATGGACACCTCGAGAATCCATCATTCACAGGGCCTGAGAAGTTGAAGGTGCCGTGATGATTCTGCCCCACATGATGGCCAGCATGCCCTGGAGCTGGAGTTGGGTTCCATGTGCACTCTTGTCACCGCAGCCGTTGCAAGACTCTTCATATCGGCCGGAGCTCAAGGAGCTGAAAGGGCTTGGCGAAAAGTCCCGCCGATCTGCCGATGCCCGGCGGGTCAAGCGCCGTTTTTGGGTGGCCCCCAGAAATAGCTCCAGGTGATGAGAGGACTGCTCACGCACGTCTGGCAAAATCAAGAGCGCCTTACTTCTAACTTAGGTGATGAGCCACTTGCAGTGCCACCGTTGAGCCCTCGAAAAGTCAGCTGCGCCATGTCTCACCCCTTCATGATGAAAGGGCCTCAGTGTGGAGGAGTCTTTTTTCCGGGGCAACTTCTTGAAACAAGAGCCTTTGGCCCAAGTGACAGAGATGGCAAGAGAATGAAGTGAAGAGGAGTGTCACCAGGCCTTGGTCTGAACTAAACTAGCACGCAGATGTCTGCAAATACCTTAAGGATTGCATTTCTCATCTTCAACCTTGGATTCTTGGAAAGGGAACACAGGCTCGGTGTACGTTCTCCCAGGTAGCCATGCCGATTTGGCGGTATGCGTGGCCACTAGCAAGAGGCCATGGCCCTTTCCGATGCTCAAAGTGATTTGTTCTGCGGTTTCGGCTTGCGGCCAAAACATGTTCGTTAGAAAGGTTCAGGCCATCATGGAGCCAAATGGCCATGTGGCAGGTGGGGTGACTACGCTTGGCCGAACTTTCCAGAGCACTGGGCCTTCCCTGGCTGGCATCAGGTTTAATTCCACTGGTGGATGCTCAGTAGCAGTAGCAGTGATCTGTGCTTTAAGCTTTCAAGATCTGGAGGTTTGAGGTTGTTTCTCTTGATAAATGCATCCGCAGCATGGATGCATCAAGGTGAGGTGCTCACAGCCACAGCGGTTTCGGATGTGGCCCGCTTGGGCGGGGCCATTGCCGCTCGCATCCGGCAGGCTTGGCCGGGATTCTTGTATCAAAAAGGCATTGGGGCCAGAATTGTCCCGCCCCCTAACTTTGTACATACGCGCAATTCCCAAGTGGATCAGTTCATCAGTAGCTGCAGGTTGATAGATAGATAGATAGATAGATAGGTAGATAGACCTTCCAGTCTCAGCCAGGATGGGGAAACATCGGTTCGCTACCTGGCAGGGTCTGAGATGGCTGCGCGTAGTTTAGTGCCATTTGGTAGGTCTGGTAGGTGTTTGATTGAGGCCTGAGGCCTCACATTGTGTAGGGCAGATGTGGATAGCGTCCCCATAATGCACCGAAAAGGATCAGCAGAAGGAAAGGCAGACTGAACTCTCAGTGGCTGAGTTCAATCGTCCATATCAAGACAGACACACCCATATCAGGATTGGAGAGATCTACGGTTTCGGGTCGGAGGCCGCCGGTCGGCCTCAGCCGCCCATCCCCAACATGTCCATCATCATGGCCGCATTGGCGCCATCCTGAGGCTGCATTGGCGCCAAAGCCGCCTTTCAGTTCGTGAAGGCGCTGGTCAATGCGATGGGCTATTTGAGCCATGACCCCGATGCCCCGCCCGAGCGATTTTTGGGCTTCCAAGTGAGAGAAGGTAAAGGCCCCTTAGCAGAAATCAGCGGGTGTTTCGGGTGCAAGTTCGAACTGCAGGGCTTCCATTTTTGCATGTGGAAGCTTTCAGGATATTAGAGGGCGTGCTTCTGTTTGAAGATTCCATTCTGCCTCAAGTGTGAGTGAGCTAGTCAACCTTGTGTGCCTCCCGGGCCTCTATGAACCCAAGGCCATCGGATTCAAATTCAACGCGCAGCATAGATTTCATGTTCTACCCACCTTGTTACTATGACCAGATGGCTCAGCCTTCAAGAACATGTGGAATCTAATGCCTCCCCAACCTCTCAGGCGAGGCCTCGGAGCGTGGCCGCGAGCTCCGCTTGCGGGTGCTGCCCCTCCACGTGGCCCCCAGCGAGCTCAAGGCCTCGCCGAACACCGCCGCCGCTGGTCCAGACGTCGCGGCCACGGACCTCCTCGTGGGGAACGGCACGGTGCCGGCGAAGGCGGCGGCCGCCATGGCGGGCGCGCTGCGCCCGCAGGGCGGAGGTCATGGAAAGTATCCGCTGGTGCGGGCCATGGGGTCGACGGCAGTGCACCGGGCGATGGTGTCTGGGATGTTGGCGCAGAGGCTTGGTCAGGCATGAGCGGAGGAGAGTTCTTTTTGGATTTTTCTGGCCCAAGAGTCTTACAGAACTTTTTCAGTACCAGTTGGATGTGCTGGGCTTTTCTGATTCGGTGTTGACATCTTTGCCCCAGATCGCATTTCAGGAAGTTTCTGGACAATGATGATCGTGGTGTGACCTTTTGCATCGTACCCTACTGGTCTGTGGAACTCTCCTCGGAGCAGAACAATAAGCAGCTGATTCTGAGGCTGATCCACCTTCCCAAGGCCAAGTGACCGTTCTATGACTGCCGCAAAGGTCGGTAGCCGTTCTGGAGAGAAAGACGGCGGGGAAAACGCTCGTGTCCCAGGAGGAGTTTACACGTGTGCGGCCAGTTTCGTCGACGTCCAGACGTCGGAAGAGTTCGTGGAGACGCAACGATCCCACCGAGTCCGTGTCGGACCTGTTTTCGCCAGGGAATTTTCGGTGGAACACCGTTTGGCTCAAGGGATGTCCTCTGCTACCATCCTTCGGCCCCCATGAAGCTGCTCGTGGGTGCCCCAGAGTTTTGGCGTCCACAACTTCGGGTAAGCTGCTCGTGGATATTTTGGTGTTTCAGGGGAACAGGAAGAGCAAGAAGCAGAAGCTCAGTCTAAAGCACCTGGGCGAGGATTCTTGTGTGCCTGGGTGTACAGGAGGAAGCCGTGAACTGAGTGATCTGTTATCTTAGGTACAATATCCAGAAGCGCATCCGTGAACACAAACGACGAGTCAAGAAGGAAGCCAAAAAGCTTGGATTGAAAAAGCGGATCAGAAAAGATCCTGGCAACTTGGCGAATCGGGTCGCCTCATGCTGCACCCCTTGCATTCAGTATTGACCGAATGCACTGAACCCTTTTGGATATGCGCTGATCAATTCGGCTTGAATTGCATCCCAAGAAACTTGTCAGGTATCCCCAACAGCCTGCCATGGAAGGCCAGAGGGATGGCCTGAGCGCAAGTGTCCATCCGAGAAGCCTTGGGCCTCTCAGATAGCGGCCTTAGCTATCCCCCACTCCATAGTGAAGCCAAGTTACTTCTGAGTGTTGACAAGCTTGGACTTTTCTCTTTTCTGACCATGATTGAACACTGAAAGAAGGCACATTGGCAGGACGAAGCTCAAGCACATGCATACATCCATCAACTGCGGCACCCGTGAATGGCAGGGTGAGCTTTTGGCAGAGATCGAAGTGAAGAAGGCGAAGAAGGAAGAAGAACTTGCCAAGAAGAAGCAGGAGGCCAGCCTTGACCGATACTTCTTTGGCAGCCGAAACCCGCACTTTTATCTAAGACATGGACAGCTGGAGAACTCTGTTTCAGAGCGAGGTCAAGGAGAAAAACAAGCTTGACCGGCAACAGCAGCGAAAGGATGCAGAGGAGACGGGGATTTGGTGGCTGGGATGGTGCTTGCCAGTGGCATTGTCTGACATTGCTGGAAGTAAGCCTGGCAATGTGATAGTCTTCAACTTGGTTCCTGAATTACTATGCGCTGAGTATGTATGCACCAATGTCTTCCTGGTGAAAGGGCCCTTGTTACAAATATACGGCGCATTGTTACTTCAAGGACAGTTGGGTGAGACCTTCCCTCGGCCCAGTCCCAGTCCCCAGCGGAGATGCCGCGCAGGAGATGCAGCGGAAGAAGGAGTCCGAGCGGCGGAAGAAGCGCGCGGAAGACGTGCTAATGGCTCAGCTGGAGGCGCTGCAAAGGATGCTGCAGAGACCCGGACTGGGAGCAGACACGAGAGAGGGAGGTGTGGGTCTCTGCTGGTGCCGAGCGGGGCCGAGCTGGGCCGTCGGCGGGACTTCGGAGGGTCTCCGGTCGAGTCTGGGTAGAACGGACCGGTCACCATGCGGTTTGGGGGACAAAGCTGAGGAAAGCGGACATCCTGCTGATAACTTTAGATGCCAGAGATCCACTTCACTGCAGATGTGCGGAGTTGGAAGCCTGGGTCAAACAGACGCTTGGCCAAAATCACAGTTTTCTGTGCGAGCAATTGGCGCACTTCCTAAAAACGAGTATGCTGTCTGTTGCATGGCGTGCATTACTCGTGCGTGATCAGAGTGATGGCAGTCTAGCACAGTTGGCATCAGAATCGTATCCTTTTCAGCTTTTTCCAGCCTCAGGAATCAAAAGCGCCTGATCTTTGTCCTGACAAAGGTTGACTTAATTGTACCTCAACAAGCTGCGGACTGGCAACATGCACTTGGCCAGGTCGGTCCAGCAGCTTGTGTCCAGGTCTCCTGCCTGATGTGGACATCAGCACCGTAAAACACGGAGATTTTTTTTTAAATAACGTGTCCAGTTTATGTAGGGCTGGGATGTTCGACTTAGGCAAAGCATACCCCGAAAAAGAACCCGAAGCATACCCTCTGAAAACACGACTATAGTCTTCACACTGCGCGAAGCATACCCCGAAGCATACCTTCGAAGCATACCCCCTACTCCAACCTCCCCCGGAACGTCAACAAAAATACAAACCAACTTGTTCCAATGTTCCGGTTCTATCACGCGGGCAGGGGTAGGACGGAATCGGGCCCTCCGCGGGCCTACTGTTTTTGCGGCCAAACTGCCGAAGATTTCCTTGACCCTTGGTTCCTAGGTCGAAGCGGGTGGTGAAGGAGTTAAGGAGTTGCTTCACATGCTGGGTGCTCGCAAGTCCAGTGAGGGCGAGGGCCCAACTGTCGGCGTTCTAGGCTACGAAGGCACTGGCAAGACGCTTGGACAAGACTAGATGCTGGGACGCTACTGGGCTTGGAGTTCTCACAGTGGTGAACCAAAACGCAAGACCTCCAGACTCATAGTCCAGGTAGCCTAGCAGATCTTGCAAGTCAGAAGAATATCTCTCACCGTCTCCCACCCCTTTGCCCAATTTCCGCACCGTGGCACCCAGGAAGTCGCTGCTGAAGGCCCTGCGCCGCGAAGCCGCCGGGGCGACGTCGCCACAGCTCGTGGAGTCGGTGGGACGCCTGAGACCTGCAGAGGACCCTGAGGGCGAGGAGGCGCTGAATGCAACGCTGCACCTGGCCATGCGGGGGCTGCTGTCGAAACGTGAAGCAGGCGGCAGAAGGAGGTAGATTCTGGGTAGATCTGAGGAGTTGTGGGGGTTTGTGGGGTGGAGAGCATGATTGGGCTTCGTGGAATGTTCGGAGTTCGTGTCCTTCAGATGTTCCGATGACTTGGCCTGACGTAGTCGAACAAGCAGCTCTGTAGAAGAAGCAGCATCTTCACAAAACAAGACGAAGAAAAATGTTTTTGGTGCTCAAGGCCTCCTGAAGGTCATATGTCACCAGTTTCCACCGATTGATCCTCAGCTTTGCCTCACCCTTTCACGTCATTGGACCATTTGGCCTGGTGATGTTGCCAGGCCCAGAGCCCTTGGAGGTGGTGCGGCACCTGGTCGCCCGCTGTGGGCCACAGGCGCTCATGCGCCGCTATCGGCTGCCGGCCTTCGACGGCCCTGAAGGCTTAGTGCAGGTGGGATCGCCGTGTGGCCGACTGCAGTGAACATGGACTCAACATCCTCCTTGAAGTTTTCACTACAAAATGAGACACCCCGGGATGTCATAACAGGGGGCATTTTGTAGAGACGTTGGTTTTCAAATTTTCTACAAAATCAAACCCTGGTTTGGCAAAGATCCTTGAAACGGCACCAAGAATCTCACCTTCTGAGGTTGGGTTGTGATTCTGTAGAAGAGGCCAAGCATGTTGGAAGCATGCCCTAAATGCACAAGCTCTTGCTTGGGTTTTGAATCTGTAGAGAGAGAGAGAGAGAGAGAGAGGGAGAGAGAGAGAGAGTGCACTGCGGCTCTTGTGTGTTTTGATTTTGTAAGGAGGTTCCATGATGCTCCTGAATGGTGCTCAGTCAGAATGCAGCAGAAAAAAAAACACATGCATTTTCAGCATCAGAACTCAGAAATCGAACAGTTTGGAAGATTTGGGATTTGACACATGATATTTTCTTGCTTCCAGGTTCTGACAACAAAAGGACACGGGAAGACAACTTGAATAAAAGTGTCAAGCCACAATATGCTAAAATGTTGTTGTTATATATCTCTTGGCTGATTAGAAATCAGAACATGAACATGCCTACAGAATCTGAACATGCCAAACTATCTCCCTACAGAATCAGAACATGCCACCACAAATCATTACAAAATCCTTTTCACTACAAAATCATCTGGCCAAAATGTGGCTCCTGAAAGTCAATTTTTAGAGCTCGTGATGCTCGGGTTGTGATTTTGTCACACTTTTTTGCATCAATCAATCCTTGATTTTGTAAAGTCAGATGATTGTCTGAGGGCTGTGGAGGTTGCAATTTGTAGACTTCACAGGGGGGGACCCTATGGTTGGGTTTCCGATTTGTAACTACAACATCAGACACCCCAGCCTTCTCCCGAACTCACAGGGGATGACTCAACCGTTTTTCCTTTTTTTGCGAGGGGCAGGCCCCTAGTAGCTCGGAAGTGGATGGATTCGGGTGAACGATGAAGCTCTTGCGGGCCATGCGGGGAGATATGTCAAGCTCGGAAGCTTTTTGAGGACGGTTTTCATCGGTGTTGGCCCTTTCAGGAGCTAAGGCTGACTTGGATCGAAGATTGAACCTTCATGGATGGCGAATCCTGTGCGGGTGGCTTCCCTTGAGATGTACAAATCAACCCTAACGGTTGAGAAACGAGGGAATGATTGAACTTAACTCTTGGGCTTGGTGTCACCTTCGAAGGCTTGGGCCAAGGCGTTCAATGTGAAGACCAAGAAGGGAAAAGTTCCAGGCACGACTGGGCTTCCCGCAGTGCTCCTCATTGTCACATGGGCCACAGGTGGTGTCTCCAAGCCGAGCTTGTCCAAGAACTTATTGCTCCAAGAAGCGGATGGTTCATCGTCACGATGCCACCACCTTGAAGCGTTTTCACGGGCTGCACGTCTTTCCATCAGATTGCTGCATTCTGCTGTTGAACATGCTCTCATTCCCATAGCTTCATTCTCATGACTCATGACATGCCGGCTAACATGTGGAACGTTAGCCTCGCCCCCAGTTTCTTGTTTCTTCAAACATTGTCTCGCAGGTGTAGAGGCAGCGGCTCAGCTCTTCTTGCAGCAGTTGGCCACCAGCCCCTGCTGTAGTTGTTTGCCTCCGGGTCAGTTGGAGGGCGGTGGCCTCTGGGAAGGACATGAGCGGAAGGATTTGGAACCTGTGACTTGGTGAACGGCGCAGACGAACTCAATCTTCATCGTAGCGATCGTTTTTTGAATATCAACACTTGCGGAAAACTGTGGGATCATCTATTGAATCTATTGAATATATTGGATTTGAGTGGAGGATCCTTCTTGCTTTGATGTTTTGCGGGGTTTGCATCTTCCAGTTTGGTGGAAAGGTGAAACAGTGGGGGGATTGGGATTATATAACTCAATAAATCAAACAAAGCCTAAACCCGACTATATAAAGCCGCCCAAACTCAGAAAAGAACCCGATGGCGTCAAGACCAATCAGAACGGTCGAGCACAAAAAAAAAGCATGCTGAACAATTCGACAAGCTGAAAGAAACCTACTCTTGTGCATCATATTTTGCTACCTTTTTTTTTCCCTCCGGCCTTTAACAAAAGACACAGTTTTTGGTCCTATATACCATCTGTCCAGTGCCCTCACCGGGCAGTTGGGACATCTCACCTCGCCCTCGTCGGGCGGTTTCAGGTGATGAAGGCACAGCTGGATCTGCTGCGCGGGCGTGAGGCTTCGGGAGCTCGAGGCCTCACGTGGCCCTCCCATGGCCTGGGGCCAAGCATCGCGCTGCAGGAGTTGGTTTAGATGGAGCGATGGTGGATCCCTTGGGATGTGCCAGAAGAAGTAGCTTTGTTGAGTAGTAGGCCAGGTATGGTGGGAAAAAACGGGCGAGATGTGTGTATGGATGTATATGTATGTATATATATATATATATGTATTTGTTTATTTTCTTTTGGTCAAACAATCGTGTATGTTTGTGCCTCATCGAAATCTCAACGATCGCAGATTCTGTTGCTGCAGGAGCTCATGGACCATGTGGAGGATGAATCCGACGATGGAATGGATGATGGTGAGCGTCGTGTTTGTTTCCTATTGGTGTTTGTTTCCTCTTGCCCGATTGTGCTGTGAAACCACACTTCCAAGATGTGGTGCTGGAGAAGATGAAGTACAGCAAGGAAGAAAGAAAGACAGAAAGATAGAGAGAGAGAGAGAGTCAGCTATTTAGGCCTTTATTGTCACCTCACCATTTTGCCTGCAGGTTTCGAAGAGGGTGAAGAGGAAGAATGGATGGAAGGGGAAGGCGAAGAAGAAGAGGATTTGGAGGATGACGCCATGGAAGATTAATTTGTCAAACAGTGGCAATCTGGACCCAGCAAACTCTGCGAAAGCAGACATGCATGGAAGTCTAGCAACTTCAATCAGAATCCAAGTGATCAATGTTCGTAACGACATAGAGCAACTATCTCAGAGCAGGTCACCGTATCATGTGGATTCTGAGTGAAGATCGGTGGGTGGACCAACCACCTTGGAACTTGGGTCAACAGTGTAAGGCCTTAAGGACCCTCGTTTTTGACAAGGGATCAAGTGCAAAAAGACTTCGTGCTCCTAGTAGCTTCTTGCTCCTAGTAGTAAGGCCAGGAGCCCCTAGTAGCGATGCCCTTGCTCCTAGTAGAATTAGGTTCTTTTTTGGTTCCCGGGATGTGGTCCACCAATCTCTGCAAATGTCTCTGTGGCAGCAAGCCTGCGGTTTGCATGGGCGCCTGGTGCAAATGCCCAGGTGCTGTCCAACCTGCAGCGTGCCACTGGCCGAAAAACAGAGTCACATCGGGCAGAGGATGGTTAGATAGTGATTCTTCAGCGTGTCCAGTTTCATGAGAACACGTACCAGGCACCATCTATCTATCGCAACCAGGCCCTGCCCCAAAATAGGTGCAAAGTGAATCCCATTCAAGCATTTGATTCTATGTATATAATTACTTGGGTACCAGCTTGCTTTATGCCAAGTGTCAATCAACTTGACCGTCGCTGGATGTTTATGCATGTGCATGAATTATGCTGGCTCTCATGCATAATGCGCGGGTACAGTATGTAATGAGAACAGCCGCGCATGGGGATGGAAGAAGGGTTTTAGCAGCTTAGCAAGGCAATGTCGCACGGGTCATGTCTACTTACCACTTGTTTAATTTGAATATGCAGCGTGCCATGGTCAGAAAAGCCTCAAGGGCTACTTGGATTCACATTTGCAGCTTGGCAGCGAAGATGTGCCTCTTGGACCCTGAAGAGTGGCTCAGGGTCCACAAGGTCCAGGAGATTGATCAGTGGCCCACCTGTCCTGGGAGTTGAGCTGGGACCAGGTGAACCAGTTTTTGGGCCAGCATGTTCCAGGACCTTCTTGAACGAAGCTCTTTGAACTGAGCTCCAACCTAATACCAATGGCCTCCAACATAATAGCAAAGGCCTCCAACCTAGAAGCGATGCAACTTTTAGCTACTAGTAGTAATGCCCTTGCTCTGATAGCCGTGGCCTCCGACCTCAGGTATGTTGGCCTTCGTGAGCCTGATCCCCATGACGTTCGTGGGCCGCTCAGGCCAGCAGGCTGTAGTTGCGTAGCTGCGCGTAGGTGCGCACTGCGGCTCGCTGACTTCGTAGGCCACCCCAATGTATGTTCTCCTCAGACTTTGTGGGGGTGAAGTGATTCTTCCAATAGACTACTGGTTTGTGTCATTGACTTTCTTTTGAAATGCCTCCATCATAGACATCAAGCATGCTAGCATTGCCAATGAAGCATCAGAGTTCCGAACCTTTCCTGAGATTCCCACATTGAGCAACATTATTCTTGGCCACTGCGCCGCGCCCATGTTGAGTATTCGAACTTTGCTTCATCAGACCTACGTGATACCTCTTGCCATCCATCAGACCGTCCGCCACCAGCCAGAGCATGTCCTCAGGATCCTCGCGCAGCAGGTCCATTAGCAGACTTGCGGGTGAAGGTGACGAACCGGTCGTTGTTTTGTGTCGGAGACAGAAGAGTATGAGTAGCGTTTGGTTGCAAAAGATACCAGCTTGGTTTTCGTAAAGAAGACCAGCCCAACCACAGGGTGCCACCAACTCTGACTGTTGGCTTTGGCCATGGCACTTGCGTAAACCTCAACCTCCCATTGGCGAAATGCCAGGTAAGAAAGAGCTTGTTTTCCTGGATGAGAAGGACCAGCCGCATTCCGAACTTCTCGTTTTGGCAAACCTTGGGAGAAGGTGCTTCCCAGAACCTGGTTGAAACATGTCACAGTCGAATCAGCAACTGCAACGGATCACTGGCCTTGGACGTCTATCCCAAGTCATAGATACAGTCCTGCGCCTTGCGTTTTCCAAGAAGTAGGCCGGGGAGTTCTTTGCCCGCGCGGGCAACACAATCGCAGTGCTGCAGGACTACCTGCGGCTCTTCCGCTTAGAGCTGGAGGAACATGCTAAGAGGGCGTTGTTCCGCAGGACGAGGTGGGTGCCTGGCACATAGCAGCCTAATTAGTAGTGTGCCATCATGGGGGGCTGCAGAAACTTGTGATGCAGCTCTCCCAGTTGCTTCTCCAGGGTTTAACGATTTGCCAGGCGCTTCTTGCCTTTTGAAGACTGTGTGAAGTGGGTCCGTGCCATGGGCTATTGGGACAGCCAGCAAGAGTGGGAAGAGCCCCTGAGCTGTAGTGGGTTGTTAGTGTGTTGAAGTGTGAAAGTTGGTTTTTGAGACCCGAAGACGCTTTCCCCTTCTCATCTCAAATAGTTTTTCAAGTCTGTGTCCAATTGGAACAGCAGTTCCATACTGTCACGGTTAACTCCAGGGAACAGCCCATCTGGCCAGAGGACTTCTAAGTACACTCTCCATTGCTTGCACTGTTGATTGGAGTTTTCAGCAGTTTTGGCGAACAAGAGTCTACCCTGGCAAGGGAATAAACACCACAGGCAAACCTTCTAAAACCATTGCCGTGAACATTGCTCCTACAGAAATGTGAAGATTTGCTCATGACAGCTAAACATGACAAGAGGCTTGGGTACCACCAAATCAAGGCTTCAGATTCCTTCAGATGGGAAGGAGACAGGTAATGTCGACATAACAACGGGACACAAACCAAGGGCTGATTCGTCCGTGGATCCAAAACAAGACTCCGTGTTTGATGAGCGTTTTCTGAAGAGAGATGGGGCAAGCTGGACCTAGATGTGGGCAGTCGCTTCAGGCGTGCGGCTTCCGTGCACCCTGTTTTCTCCAAGGTGGATTGCGCTGGGCGAGAAGCGGAACCCATACATTCCAACCCGCCCGGATGAATACTATGGACCTTTGGAGTGCATTTGTTGGGGTGCCTTGATGAATGGGGAAATGGCTTGGCTATGGCTAAGACTTAGGGGACGCGCAGCAGATTAAAATGAAGATGAAATGTATGTGCTCTGGTTCGGAGGATGATTGGGTGACACTGAGGAAAGCTCGGGCAGTGGAAAGGCTGGAGCTACTTCTTGGGATCGAAAGAAGGCGTGGATGAATGTGAAGATTGCCCGACAACCCAGCAGGGAGCCCCTTCTTTGGGATTGACTCATTGAAAACTCAGAATCCGGAGGGCCACTAGGAATGGCTATGCCTGTTGTTAAAGTTCAATATTCAAGCTACTTGAGTATGGCTCTAAACCTCTGAGCCTCTAGCCTCTAACCCTTCCAACTCTTGAAAGGCAAGAAGAACAAGTGAGAACAAGAAGGAAGAGCTGCAATGTGTGCAACTTGAGGAGGCCACCCGTAGATGGACCTTCCAGCTTTTAAAGAGGAATTTGATGGTGCATCTATGTCATTCCATTGCGGCCCCTTTTGACCTCTCAGGATATCCTAACCTATATGAGAAATGTGTGATCTTTACTGGCATCCCCTTGATATTTGGTCTCAAGAGTCTTAAGAGGCTTCAGCAATCCATTTCCTGAATGTCCAGCGCACCGCTAGCATGAAATGGTTGAATTCTGAGGGTTCAGATATGTTCAGATCCTCGAACCCTATGTGCAGGGTAGATAGGTTCGATGCAGGCTTCATACTCAAATGAGATATGGACCTGCAGGGTTGGGAGGGGGGTTCTCAGTAGCCCAGTAGCTCAGCGGAGTGATGTTCCGTACCTGCGCGGAGCATTGGGGAACATGCACGAGCGATGTGTGTTTGACTTTTTCAGTTGATCGACGCGGTTGGGGTCCAGCAGATCGGCTTGGGAGACTTGGAAATGTACTGTTGGAAAATGAAGTGAAGCACAACCCCAGGAGCCCTTGCAGAAAAGGGAATGGGAATGCATAGGCATAGGAGCGCTCTCAAACCATTTTAGTTCCTTGTGCTAGAGCACAAGTCAGCCAGATGGCGGATCAAGTCACCTCGAAATAGTAAGTAGCAGTCAACGTCCAGCTTGAAGCGAGGCGGAAAGACTGTTTAGCATGCAGAGTAACATGAATCATTCCAAGTTGAAACGCCGACACGTGAGAAAAGCAGGCACACAAACTTGAGACTTAACACACATAGACACAGAGACAGACACAGAGACAGACAGAGACAGACACAGACCTCTAATCACACCCTAGAGGCAGAATTTAAGTGTTCACATGCTACATTGAACCCGCTGATAACCCAGCTGCTGGGTCCTGCAGTTGGAAAAGCTCCCAGCCCTGGTGAGAGCAGGTGGCTCAGGTATGCTGAGGTGGGTTTTCATGGTTTCCACGTTTGTCAGATGTCCCGCAGACTTTCGTTTGGGGAGATTTTTCGTGCAGACAGGGAGGTCATCCTGTAAAGCTTGACTTTTGGACTTTGGAACTGGTGGGTTTTCTGAGAAGGGGTTGTCTTTGGACCAAAGATCCTAGGGCACTAGGCCTTTTTTTGGGGGGGGTTGTGCGTTGGGAATCACAGGTTTTCTCTGCATTTGTTTAAGCTTTTGTGTGCCCTTCACGAGTCAGAACCAAAAACTTCCGGAAAATCAATTCAACTTCTATCAGATAGGACTACATACTTTAGTCTAAGACCTCAGAAATAGCATTCCACGCAATGTCGTTTTGTCCCACCTGCTCAAGCTCCAATATATATTGTGAAAGGGCCAATGAGCAAAAACCACGCAGAAGCTGAGAATCTAAGCACCTCTAGCATCCCATGCAAAGCTTTGCGTTACACATTACTTCAGAGCCTAGCTTGAAGCTCCAGAAAGAGCTTTGGAGCAAATCCTACAAACACAGCAACAAGTAAATAGAAGCTGCTTAGTTCAGAAGGATCCGCTGCAACAAGACGTGCAAAGACGCGCAAGACAGACTCACATGCTTTACACCATGCATGGAGCTTTAGCGTCAGAAGGTGCTTTCTGACCACAGAAGGAGGGCTGGGAAAACCGCTCGGAGCGGCTCGGAGCGACGCCAGAGTGACACTCCGACCGCCGTCGATGGGTGTGGCGTGGCTTCTTTTTTTCTGCAGGAAGCGACCGTGGGAGTGGCGATGATGGCTCAAGGCACGTTTCCTGTTTGGGTGCCGGTGTTTGGGTGGAGGTCCTGGAACAACTGAACACATTGCGTGCACGCGTGGTTTATATCCTCGAACTGAAATGACTTATTTCAATTTGAGTATCTTGGGGCTTGGGCTCTGAGCTTCGGAAGGCCACCACTGAGCTTGAAGATGGCTATGGATGATGCAGGTTCCAACCAATGAGCTTGCCTTAGAACATTTGATTTGATTTGAGGAGCCTCTTTCTGTGCGCCGTGCCCCATCCGGGAAGTGGAGAGCAGGTGGAACGGGTCGTGTTTTTTCATCGGACATCACGGGACATCCTGGGACATCCTGGGACAGCAGGACTTGCCGTGTTGAGACAAAGCTCAGTCGCTCAGTTGGATATCGAAGTAACTCCTTTTGTCTGAGATTGGGAGCTCCTTTGCCTGTACATTTCTGGCTCAGGTCATATGAAATTGTCATGTATCACTCAAGTTTGGCTACAGAGTTGTAGATGAGAAGTTGAGAAGGAAAAAACAAAGGACCTTCAGATTTGCACCTAGCCCTGAGCCTTCCACAGAAAGAAATCGCCGATGATTGACCCCTAGCCCTACTGCCATGGGCTGACAAGGGAATGCCCCAAGTGTGCCTTGGTGACCCAAAAGGCTTGGCTGGTAGTGTTCTGACTTGCGGGGAGTCTTTCTCAACATGGGCCTCGAGGCTCTGAATTTGCTGGACACAGATATATGAGGATGGGTCAAAACCTGGAGCCCTACATGGAGTCTCCGATTTTGATCCAAAGCCATATCAATGCGACAGGGCGCTATTTTCAATCTCGTTCGTTGGAGGTCATGGTGGTCATCCTGTGAAGGAAAAGGTCGTAGAACAAATTCGATACCTGTTCCCTCTCCTCTGCAGCTTACCAATGGCACCATTTGTGACACAAGTATCACTCGGTTTTCCTTCTTTTTTCGCCCAGGGCCGGGGCCGAAGAGGAGACCAACGTGAGAGTTGCTGCGCGGATCCGACCGCTGCTGCCCCGAGATACCGCTCAGCTGGGGTCGCTCAGAGGGCGCGGAGAGGGTGGCAAACCGCGTGCGCAGCCCGTTTGGGAGAGATGGCCATGGGAGAACGTATGGGAGAAAGCCCTCCCATTCTGTTTTTTGGAAGCAAGGACGTGTTTCTCACTACATTGCTGGGCAAACATTTGTCCAATGTGCGGGGGCTTTTGTATTGGCTTGCCAGGAACTGCTGCTCCTGTGTCACGGTCCACCCCAATGTGAACCAGGTGGTGGTCGGCACCAGACGAGCTTTCACGTGCGGGAGCTCATGTGTGGGGACTTCGGCGGGTTCCGCGGATCCAGATTTTGCAGATGAGGTTGTTTGAGCATGTTTTTGCTGATAGGTTGGAGGCCATCGCTAATGGGTTGTTTGAACATGTTTGGGTTGGAAGAGTTGTAGCTGTTCACCCGTCCTTGCTGCAGGTTCGACTTGGTGTACGAGACAGACGCTAGCCAGCTGAAAGTCTATGATGGCTGTGTGTCCCAGTTGCTGGAGGGCTGCATGTGCCTTGGATCAAATGGATTGCACGCCTCGAGGGCTGTGGCCCCCGAGAGCCAAGACCCTTAGGCTCGAGCCGTTTTCCCGACCCAAGCCGCTGAGGCAAGGCTACAATGCGACGGTCCTTGCTTATGGGCAGACAGGAGTGGAGGGTTATGTTTGCTCGAGTGATTTTGTCATGCATGGGAATGATTGCTGGAATCTGTTTTTCTAACAAGTTCCGTTTTTTTTCACCATGGGAATGCTTGAGTTTGTCCCTTAAGCCGAACTCCTCTCGTCTTTGTGGCCACCTTCTGTCGATCATCTTCCACGAACTCCAGGCAGCGGAAAGACTCACACCATGGGCACTGGACCGGCTGTGGGAGAAGGAACCGATGAGGAGGGCATTGTGCCAAAGGCGGCGTCAGATTATGACGGGGTTGGGCAGGTGTGTTGGGCAGGTGTGTTGTGGTGGTTGAAGCCACGTATATTGTTGCTCTTCACATCCAATGCCCCCACAACTTGTTGAGAGATGGATCACAGCGTTAGGAAACAGTTTGCTAGGCAGGCAAGCAGGCAGGCAGTACGGACTATGCCAACCAAAAATGCATTTCTTCGTCATCGCCAGGTGATCCGGAATAGTTTCCAACACATCGAGATGCACAAGGAACACATTGACTTCAAGGTGCAGTCTTGTTTTGCAGGGTTCAGTTTCAAGGTCCGAGCTTGGGGCAGGTTTCTTGCTGCTACCTGGAGATCTACAATGAGGATATCCGTGACCTTCTGCAACCAGGAGGACCAGCTCGTTGCAAGGAAATTCGCTCAAAAAAGCCGCCCCAGACGCACCTCACACCTCACCGTTTGGATAGCTCACGAAACAGGCTAAGCGGCTAGGCCCCCCTTGTTACGCTGGTCCTGCATGGCGCTGCCGCCAGGAAGCAAGGGCCTCATTGCGATCCGAGAAGCTCCAGCCGGGGGGATCAAGGTGAGGCTGCTGGTGACCTCCACGGAAACACAACAGAAATATGTTGCCTGGATGTTTCTGGCCACTGGCGAACCATTAGGGCCAGGGTATTTGCGATTAGAACCTCAACCACATCAGCTACCCCAGTCTCATGTCTTCCATTTTCATTCTTTTTCCTCATGCCGGACCAGAAAGCCCACCCAGCACCGCTCCAATCACCGCATCGTGAACGCACATTTCCAGATCACATTCTTTAGTTTGGTGGTGTGGACATCGGAAACGGCCCCCTACACATGGACACCTTCCGCACTTCCGAAGGCTTCATTCCACACGGACCAACCATGACCGCTGTGCAACCGCCGAAGAAAGCACCACCGCGCCGCCTGCGAGGTCTCGGGCATCCACGCGGAGGTGTGCCGCTCCGCGGAGGAGATGTTCCGGTGCCTGAGCGATGGCTCGGTGCAGCGGACCACGGGCGCCACCTTGATGAACGAGCAGAGTTCCAGGTGCGGAACGCGTTCCGGTGCAGTTTGGAAGTGAAATGAGATGAAAAACGAGTGAAGATTGAGTGACACCAAGTGGTTGAAGACGGTCGGTGGTTGATGTTGAGGTCAGATCGACATCTTAGACTTGGTTTTGATGGAAGGACGGCTAAGCTTGGGCCTTCTTGGACTAGGTAATCACCCGGCAGTAGATGCGGTTGTTCTAGCCAGGTTGGGTTCACCAGCTATTGCTTGACGTATCCATTGTATGTTAATTATGTATGAGAAGGTTTTGGGAAGCAAGTTGCATTCTCCAACTAGCCATGTGCACATGTTCACCCACCGTTGGGTCGTTGGGTGGTGGGACTGAATTGAGATCTTTGGCAGATGCCACCGACAGTTGCCAGGTCGCATTCCATCTTTACGCTCATCCTGGAACAGCGGAACCGCCTGAAGTGCGATCTCGGAGACGGATGCATTGAGGACTACTATGTGACTGCCAAGTTTCATCTCGTCGACTTGGCTGGCTCGGAGCGTGCCAAGCGTCTTTTGCCTCAATCTGGCACTGGGTGACTGGCTCCTGGTGTAGGTTGGGGATATATAAGTAAACATGATGACAATTATGAAGCTAAGTGGGAAACTCCACCAAGCCCGTCTACTGAGTCTACTTTTCGGTGACCCTAGTAAATTAGGCCCTAGTACAATCTCACAACTTTCGTTTGGGTAAACAGCTGGTTGGAAACACACAGATGGATGGACCAGAGCCAAGGGATGACAAGTTGTCCTCCATTCCGACACCGATGGCCGGTGCGATGGATTCGTTCCCACCGGGTGCTCCGAGGTACTGGCGCAGTGGGCAGTCGCTTCAAGGAGAGTGTGTCAATCAACTCCGGGTTGTTGGCCCTGGGAAACGTCATTTCCGCCCTGGGGGATCCTGCCAAGCGAGGCCTCCGGGTGGCCGGAAGGGAGGTTGGGGTGGTTGAGTGAGGGTGGTTGGAGGTCTGAAGGGGTCGAATTCGATCGCACCGAAAACGAACAGGTGTTTGGTTGACCCCCTGCTCTGGCCCGGAACCATGGAGTCTGAACAAACATGGTGTGTTGCTGAGACAGCTGCGATGAAGCGCACACAACGTCCTTGTTTGTTTTCCCTTTCTGGCTTGGCCGGTTGGTGACGCGTCGCACGTCTTCTGCAGGCAGCCATGTGCCATACCGGGAGTCCAAGTTGACCAGGCTCCTGCAAGATAGTTTGGGAGGAAACTCTCGCACTGCAACTGGGCTCGGCTTGGCTTGGGCTGGTCCGGAGGTTGGGCTCCGAGGGTCGATTTCTTCACCGGCTCCGCATGCAGCGGCAGCCAAGGTGATGATCGCCTGCGTCAGCTGTGCAGATATTGACTTTGAGGAAACCCTCAACACCCTGAAGTATGCCCATCGAGCCCGGAACATCAAGAACAAGCCAGCCGCCTGTGTGCACTTGGTTCAGTTCTAGTCTATACACGAAGCTAGTTGGTTGCCTGAAAGTCCCAGGCCCAGCACAACATGGAGTGGCCCCGAAATAAGATGTTCAGCCGGTGTGGTTGTGCTCATGTTATGGCCAACCATGTCGTGATGGTTGCCATCTCACTCCAGTTGTGGAGCTGAGGTCATCAATCACGACCCCAAGCAGGCACAACTGGCGGCCATGCAGGACGAGATCGAGGCCCTGCGGGAGCAGCTCCAGCGGGCCAACGGCACCAACGGCTGCGCCCCGGCGGCGGCCATTGGACAAGAGGAGACCTCCTGCAATAGAAGTGTTCATTATTGGATGCCTTCATTTTGGATGCCTTCATACTGACATCCTTTGTTCCCACTGAATGCGCCTCATTCTTACGATGAAATAGGTACTATATATATATATATATGTTGCGTTGAGCTTGGGGATTCTTTTCGCCGCCTCAGCTCCCTGCGGTGCTAGGAGATCATCGAGCTTGCGGCGAAATTGGAGGCGCCTTGGGCTTCACCGACAAGTGGAGACCAATTGAGGTTCTTCAGCAAGACGTGGAGGTCTCAGTGCAGTTGGAATAAGCATAGATAGATAGATAGATAGATATATATATATATCTAGTCTTTTGTGGATATGAATCTTGAGGCCCTCTGATCACCCCATGGAAAGTGAGACAGTATCTATTGTTCATGTCTGATTTCTGGTCGGGAATCGATCTCTTACTCTGGCTTAAGTAGCCAGTTCTCCATAGCCAATGGCAAGTAGCCAAGCTGAGCTCTTCATGCGTTCACCGAAAAACCGAAGCCCACCAGGCGGCAGAACAGCGTGCTGCGG